ATATACAAACAGATGAATGTTGTTTTCATGTCTGCTAATATAACATCCTTTCTGCAGCTCATGGATCAAGGAGTATTTTCAACTTTCAAGTCTTATTATTTAAGAAATACATTTTGTAAGGTCATAGCTGCCATAGATAGTGATTTCTCTGATGGATCTGGGCAAAGTAAATTGAAAACCTTCTGGAAAGGATTCACTGTTCTAGATGCCATTTGAACATTTGTAATTCATGGTAGGAGGTCAAAATAGCAGCATTAATAGGAGTTGGAAGAAGTGGATTCCCACCCTGATGGATGACCTTGAGGGGTTTGAGACTTCAGTGGAGGAAGTAGCTACAGATACGGTGAAAATAGTAAGAACTAGAATTAGAAGTGGAGCCTGAAGATGTGACTGAATTGCTGCAATCTCATGATCAACCTTGAGCAGATAAAGAGTTGCTTCTTATAGATGAGGAAAGAAATTGGTTTCTTGAGATGGAATCTAATTTTGGTGAAGATGCTGGAAACATTGTGAAATGACAACTAAGGATTTAGAACATTATATAACTTCAGTTGATAAAGTAGCAGCAGGGTTTGAGAGGATCGATTCCATCTTTTTTTTTTTTTTTTTTAGACATGGAGTACAGATACAATCTTGGCTCACTGCAACCTCCGCCTCCCAGGTTCAAGCAATTCTCCTACCTCAGCCTCCCCAGTAGTTGGAATCACAGGTGTGCTCCACCATGCCCTGTTAAGTTTTGCATTTTTAGTAGAGATGGGGTTTCACCACGTTGGCCAGGCTGGTCTCAAACTTCTGACCTCAAGTGATTCACTTGCCTCGGCCTCCCAAAGTGCTGGGATTACAGGTGTGAGTCACTGCACCTGGCCTTGACCCCAATTTGAAAAGAACTTCTACTGTGGGAAAAATGATATTAAACAGCATTGTGTGCTACAGAGAAATCCTGCATGCAGTAAGAGTCCATTGATGTGACAAACCTCACTGTTGTCTTATTTTAAGAAATTGCCATAGCCACCCAATGTTTGGCCACCACCCACCGATCAGATAGCAGCCAACATCAAGGCAAGACTCCCCACTAGGAAAACGATCACGACTTGCTGGAGGCTCAGATCATTAGCATTTCTTAGCAATAAAGTATTATTGAATTAAGGCACGTACATTGTTTTTTTCTTCTAACATGATGAGACTGCACACTTAATAGACTATAGTATAGTATAAACATAACTGTGATATGCACTGGGAAACCCAAACATTTGTGTGACTTGCTTTACTGCAGTTTGCGCTTTATGGTGGTCTGGAATTGAACCCACAATATCTCCAAGGTATGCCTGTACACGCTAAGCTGGCCCAGAAAAGGGGGTGGGCCTGGGGCCTGGTGAGACAGATGTCAAAGTCAAGCATCAGACGTGTGGTGGTGAGTGTGGTGGTGTGTGGGTGTCATGGTGTGTGGGTATGGTGATGAGTGTGGTGCTGTGTGGGTGTGGTAGTGTGTGGTGTGTGTGGTGGCATGTGGTGTGGTGCTGTGTGAGTGTGGTGTATGGGCGTGGTGGTGTGTGGGTGTGGTGGTGTGAGGGTGTGGTGGTGTGTGGGAGTGGTGTGGTGGTGTGGTGATGTGTGGTGTGTTGGTGTTGTAATGTGTGGTATGTGGGTGTGGTGCTATGTGGGTGTGGTTTGTTAGTGTGATGGTGTGTGGGTGTGTGGGGTGTCGGTGTGGTTAGTGTGGTGGTGTGTGGGTATGTGTGGTGTGGGTGTGGTAGTGTGTAGGTGTGGTGTGGGGGTGTGGTGGTGTGGTAATGTGTGGTGTGGTGGTGTGTGATGTGGTGGTGTGTGGGCGTGTGGTGTGGTGGGTTAGGCATGTGGGTGTGGTGGTATGTGGGTGTGGTGGTGTGTGTGTTGTGGTGTGTGGTGTGGTGGTATGTGGTGGTGTCTCGTGTGGTGTGGTATGGTGGTATGTGGTGATATCTGGTGTGGTGTGGTGGTGTGGTGGTATGTGGTAGTGTCTGGTGTGGTGTGTGGGTGTGGTAGTATGGTCTGTGGGTGTGGTATGTGGTGGTGTGTTGTGCGGGTGTGTGGTGGTGTGGTGTGTGGTGTGTGGGTGTGGTGTGTAGGTGTGTGGGTGTGTGGCGGTGTGGTGTGTGGTGTGGGGGTGTGGTGTGGGGTATGGGGTGTGGTTTGATGCTGTGTGGGTGTGGTGGTGTGTGGTGGTGTGGTGTGGGGTGTGGTTTGGTGGTGTGGTATGTGGGTGTGGTAGTCTGGTGTGTGGTGTGGGGGTGTGGTTTGGTGATGTGTGGGTGTGTGTGTGGTGTGTGGTGTGGGGTACGGTTTGGTAGTGTGTGGTGTGGGGGTGCAGTTTGGTGGTGTGTGTGGTGTGGGGGTGCGGTTTGGTGGTGTGCGGGTGTGTGTGTGGTATGGGGGTACGATTTGGTGGTGTATAGGTGTGTGTGGTGTGGGGGTGCGATTTGGTGGTGTGTGGGTGTGTGTGGGTATGTGTGTGGTGTGGGGGTGCGGTTTGGTGGGGTGTGTGGGGTGTGGGGGTGCGGTTTGGTGGTGTGTGTGTGGTGTGGGTGTGTGGTTTGGTGGTGTGTGGGTGTGTGTGTGGTGTGGGGGTGCGGTTTGGTGGTGTGTGTGTGTGTGGTGTGGGGGTGCAGTTTGGTGGTGTGTGTGGTGTGTGGTATGCGGGTGCGGGTTGGTGATGTGGGTGTGTGTGGTGTGTGGTGTGGGGGTGCGGTTTGGTGGTGTGTGGGTGTGTGTGTGGTGTGGGGGGTACGGTTTGGTGGTATGTAGGTGTGTGTGGGTATGTGTGTGGTGTGGGGGTGCGGTTTGGTGGGGTGTGTGTGTGTGGGGTGTGGGGGTGTGGTTTGGTGGGGTGTGTGTGTGTGTGTGTGGTGTGGGTGTGTGGTTTGGTGGTGTGTGGGTGTGTGTGTGGTGTGGGGGTGTGGTTTGGTGGTGTGTGGGTGTGTGGTGTGGGGGTGCAGTTTGGTGGTGTGTGTGGTGTGTGGTATGTGGGTGTGGTTTGGTGATGTGGGTGTGTGTGGTGTGTGGTGTGGGGGTGCGGTTTGGTGGTGTGTGGGTGTGTGTGTGGTGTGGGGGGTACAGTTTGGTGGTGTGTGGGTGTGTGGTGTGGGGGGTGCAGTTTGGTGGTATGTGTGGTGTGTGGTATGAGGGTGCGGTTTGGTGATGTGGGTGTGTGTGGTGTGGGGGTGGGGTTTGGTGGTGTGTGGGTGTGTGTGTGGTGTGGGGGTGCGGTTTGGTGGTGTGTGGGTGTGTGTGGTGTGTGGGGGTGCAGTTTGGTGGTGTGTGGTGTGTGGTGTGGGGGTGCGGTTTTGTGGTGTGTGGGTGTGTGTGGTGTGTGGGGGTGCAGTTTGGTGGTGTGTGGTGTGTGGTGTGGGGGTGCGGTTTGGTGGTGTGTGGGTGTGTGTGTGGTGTGGGGGGTGCGGTTTGGTGGTGTGTGGTGTGTGTTGTGTGGTGTGGGGGTGCGGTTTGGTGGTGTGTGGGTGTGTGGTGTGGGTGTTTGCTTTCGCAGCACTGAGGCTCTTCCTGTTGCCCCTCCCTGGCTCTGCCAGCTCCCAGGCAGGGCCTTTGCTTATGCAGCCACTACGGCCTGGAGCACTCCCTCGTCCCTCCTGGTGACCTGCTCCTCACCCGTCAGAGTGCAGCTCCAGCATCATTTCCCGGGGAGAGCATTCTCTGAGCCTCATGTCTCTGTCACACATCTCACTTTAGCATGTCCTAGCAACCTTGCACCTCTTTTTTTGTAGCATTTTTCGCAGTTGTCACTTCACATGTGCATCTGCAATGACGCAGCGAATGTTTACCTTCCCTCAAACCGTGACCCCCTGAGTGCAGAGGTCACAACCATTTTGCTTGCCGTTGTCTCTCCAATATGAGCAGAGCACCTGACACACAAGAAACCTGGCCAATATGTGTTGAGTGGATGAGTGGATGAACATGAGTGTGCATGTGCTGTGTGTTGGTTGTGAGTGTGTGGTGCTCCTCTGGTCCTAGCTCCAGTGTTCTTGGTGCATTCCAGGGAGGCCCAATTATTGGGGGACTGTGCCTTGTCCTTCTGTCTGTGCTTTCCAGGGGGCAGAAATAGGATTCTCTCCATAATATTAAGAGTCCTTTAGGAAGAGGCTAACACCTTTTTCATAAGTTGGGAGTTTCTGGTGCAGAAACAAGACCTGAAGAGTCAGTGGCAGGAGCTTGGGCTGTGGAATAAGAAAGCTCCTCTTCTATACCCACTTAGGAGTGAGAACACACAGTGTCTGGTTTTCTGTCCTTGTGTCATTTTGCTGAGAATGATGGTTTCCAGCATTATCCATGCCTCTGCAAAGGACATGAACTCATGTATGCCTATGTAACAAACCTGAATGTTCTGCACATGTACACCAGAACTTAAAGTATAATTTAAAAATTAAAAAAAATCCAAATTAATTAAAATTAAATAAAAAAAAAAAAAAAGAAAGCTTTTGTTCTGAGAATGAAAGAGGCTCAGAGCTAAGACCTTGTCTGTAAAATGGGGCCTCATGCTTGACAAGGCTGTTTCAACTGGAATAGGATCCTATTCAGAAGAGTGCTTTGTAAGCCACAGTGCCCGCTGGGCAATGTTTTTACAATTATCCTGCACTGCTGCTCAGATCAGACTAAGAGGCTGCTGAGGAGTCTTAGGAAGAGGGTGAGAGTGGGGGTTTTGCGGGGGTGATACGGAAAACGAGGCCATAACCCTGCCACTTATATTCAGGGTACCTCTAGGGATTCCAGGGTCAGAGATTCTTCTCCTGCTAGGCAGACGCACTGGGGGAGTTGTGCTTCCTGTGCCCTTGTCAAAGCCATGGCTGCCATCTTGGTGAGGGCTCCACTGCCATCTTGCTGGGATCCATTTAAGTAGGGTCTCCCCAGGGCAGTTGTGCCATGTTGCTTTGCTTGAGATGCTGGGGTAAAGCATGGAGGATGCTGCTGGTGGTGAGATGACGGGGTGCTTGGAGGCGGCTGGGGGTACTTACAGTTCGGTCACGTCCTTGGGCATGCCTTTGGGGAGGGTGCGGAGTCCTTTGTTGCTGCATCGCACCACGGTGTCCACGCAGGTGCACTGCTCCGGGCAGCGCGGGCTCAGCTGGCAGCTACTCTCATCGTTGCCTGTGGAGAGCCCCGGAGAAGGTGAGAGCGGTGGGAGATAAGCTCCACTAGGAGGAGCCAGTGAGCAAGGCTGCGCTCCAGTCCCCACTGGGCGCTGGAACCAGGAATAGGGTACCCGCTGGTCTCATCCGCGGTTGACGGGTGTTGCCTACCTTCTACCTCATTTGACATAAGATGAAGACCATGAAGGAGGCTCAGCTAGAGTACCAGATAGGAAAGAGGTCTCTGTTAACCAGATCAGGAATAAGCCCGAATGACTGAGGGAGTGGTCAGGCGGAGGGGGCAGAATCTTTTCCCTTCCTTTTTCTCCTTTCTTTCTCTCCTCCCACAACGACATAGTCCCTCTGAGGTGGGGAGTGTGTCCCCAGCCTCCATTATGCCTTAATCTCAGTTAATTATCTGTCTCTAGATAACCCAAAGTTGAGCAAGTGAAGATCTATGCTGGCTTGGATTTATGCAAACAAATAATGCTCTCTGGGATCCTGAAAACAAAGCCTCAGATATCCATACCCCAGCCAGCAACAAGACTTTCCTTGAAGTCTACTTCTCATGAGTACATACTCTGAGTCTCATCATGATGCAGACAGGAAGACTGAGGCCAGGGCTCCCATGTACAGTTGTATAGGTCGTGTACTCCACAAGGGTGCCATATCATTTAAGGGGCACCAAGCTCACTGTGCACTTGATAGATTAGTATATTTGGTACAAACAGTTTTCTCATAGATGGCAGTATCTTGTTTTAATGAGCAAGTGTCTTGTCTTAATGAAATCAGTATAGTATGACAGATTTCTAACTGATGGAAATAAAATGATTTCTGAAAAGGGCGCCTTTTCTTAATTTGCATGAAGGAGCCATGTGGGCTAACAGTAGATCTGCAAAGCTCTACAGCGTGCCGCCTGTGTGCCCAAAGCAGAGTAAAATGGGATCTCAGGGAGTATCTGATCCTGTAACTCCGGCATCTTCCTCGGCTCCCCAGGACCTTCCCCGCTGCCCTCGACCCCCAGTCTTCTCACCGTCACAGGTGAAGTCCTGGATGGCCACATCCTGGATGGGGATCTCCTTGAGGAAAAACGGCTTCTGGCACCTAGGGTTTCCGCTGACGATCCGCCTCTTCCTCAACCACTTGCCCAGCCAGGCCAGGTGGCAGTTGCAGTTGAAGGGGTTGGACAGGAGGTTTCTGGGAGGAAAGAAGGGTGCTTAGCCTCTACTTTCTACTGTGGGAATGGCCCTGGAATCTGCTTCTGCAACCCCAGAGCCCAGCTCTCCCAGCTGGGGAGGAGGTGGTCTCAGAAAGGAAATGTAGGCTCTTCACCAGATGCAGTCTCTGCAAGGGTCTCATTCGAGACCTCCACCACTGATGGAGGTAGGCACGGCCTCTCACCATGCCCTCCCTTGTGTACTGAGCTCGGGCTGTGTGAACTGCCTCTGGGTCCTCAGCGGAGATTCGCCCTGAGCGCCTGCACACTTGCTGCTCTCCTTGCTGGGAACCCGTCTCTTCACAGGTTGCCTGACTGGCTGCTCCTTGTTCCTTAGTCCTTGGCTTCAATGACATTGCATTAAGAAAGCCTTCTCTGAGTCCCCCATATAAAGTGGGATACTTCAGCCTCATCCTGTCTTTTCCCTCATTCCCCTTGGTTCTCCCTGTGGCACCCATGGGAGTGTGTAGTGTCTGGTATCTGTGCTCGCCTTGCACCTTGGACTCTATATTCCACGAGAGTAGGGTCTGTTTGCCTCTGCGTATCCAGAAATTAGTGTTATGTCATCACAGGCACTTTATATGCATCTATGGACTGAAATAATTGGACTGATGGAGAGAGAAGAGCGTGACGGAAGCTATCCCTCCCTGAGTGTTTACTACAGGACTGGGACCACGCCGAGCACTTCCTACATCCACTGTCTCATTCATTCCTGTCATAGCAACCCTAAGAAGGAGGTAACATCATCTTCCACTCATGCACGAGGAAAGTAAAGCTTGAGGAGCTTATTTAAGAGGGGCAGATAGCTCTTGAGTGGCTGCAGGATGATACAGCAATTAAGGGCTTGGAAGTTGTCGTTCTGGGGTTGCAGTCCAGGCTCTGACACTCAGTAGCTGTATGAAGCGGGGCAAGTGACTTCGTGGGTCACAGCTGGCTCCCTGAACGCTTTGTGACTCTATCCCTCTCAGCATCTTAGGTGTCTTTGGATTTCCAATGTGGAGGTACCTAGGAGGGGCTAAACATGGACTAAAGGACCTGCTCACTGGTGTTAACTCCCAACCCATTGTCCTCTCCTGTTGATGTCATTCATTCATTTGATTCATTCCTTTCCTCAACAATTACATGCCTGGCATCTCCTTATGCTCTTGGCACAGATCTAAACATTAAGGATACAGCACTGAACAAAACAGCTGCATATCCCTGTCCTTCAGAAACTTACATGATGGCAGGCAAGTAATATATAATTAACAGCAAGTTAGTAAATGACACAGTCTATTAGGACATGGTTAGTGCTATGTAATATTAGGGGGCAGGGCTAGAGGGATCGGGGGTAATGGCAGAGGGGTGGAATGGGGTGAGGGAGGTGATACCTGAGCAAAGGTGGAAGGGAGGGAGGCCAGGGGGAGGGTGTTCCAGGGAGTGCAAAGTTTCAATGTGGGAGTGGGCTGGGAACGTGGGAAAATGCCCTGTGGAGCTACAGTGGAGGGAGGGAGGGGACAGGCAGGACATGAGGGGCAGATGGGGTGGGGCCGGCCTGTAGGCCCTCCTCTAACTTCGCCTTTGATTCTAAGTGCAATAGGCATAGGGTAGCAACAGGAGGTGCAGAAGCAGCCTGTCCTTCTGCCTTCCAAAGGGTCATTGGGGAAGGTTAGAGACAGGTCCACAAACCAGCAACTAAGGATAATGGAGCTACATGGAAATACGATGCGCAGCTGTAAAATGCACACATGTTGAGCACTTTCTACCCCTAGGCCCTTGCTGTGTGTTTTACAAGCATCACCAGATTCAATCCTGGTAACCATCCCAAAAGGTAGATCATGCAGAAGGGAAACGGAAGCACGAGGAGATGAAGTAACTTTCCCAAGGTCACACAGCTAACAAGAGACACAGCCAGGATTTGAACCTGGGCAATTTGGGTCTCGAGTCTTACCCATTATTCTACAGAGGCTCCCTTCCCACCACAGTGCTCCCAGGCAGGAGCACTCCTTTAGGTGTCTAGGAAGCTGGGCTTTAATTCTGGCTCTGATACCCACTGAAGCAGCCAGTGACATCTTTTTGAAAGCCCTGTCTGGTGATTTAACTATCTACTTAAAAGTGCCAGTCTTCCTGATGTGCTCTGGACAAAGACCGAGATGGCCCACAGCAGTCCTGCAGCCTGACTCTGGCTTCTTCTTTAGCCTTGCCTTATGTCATGCCCTCCCTCATTCAGTGCTGTGACCATGCTGGGATATGTTCAGTCCCACATTTGCTCTGTTGCAGCCAACCCCAGGGCCTTTGCACATGCCCTTTCCTCTGAAGGAAGTGTACTGCCTACTTTCTTCAATAGCTAACACCCACTGACCTTCCAGAATACAGCTCCAGTGTTTATCAACAAAGGCCCCCACCTCCCGCTTTTTTTTGAGACAGAGTCTTGCTCTGCCACCCAGGCTGGAATGCAATGGCAAGATCTCAGCTCACTGCAGCCTCTGCTTCCCGGGTTCCAGCAGTTCTCCTGCCTCAGTCTCCTGTGTAGCTGGGATTACAGGTACTTGCCCAGCATGCCTGGCTAATTTTTGTATTTTAGTAGAGATGGGGTTTCACTATGTTGGCCAGGCTGGTCTTGAACTCCTGAGCTCAGGTGATCCACCTGCGTGGGCCTCCCAAAGTGTTAGGATTATAGGCATCAGCCACCATGCCTGGCCTTCCATGTTGGGTTTCCAAATCACTGCTTTCTGTGGCAGTTCACTATGCTGTGAGCTCCAGGAAGGAGGGGCCAGGTGTGTGCAGCCGCAGTACCTGGACGATGCCTGGCACATAAAGAAAGCTTGATGAATGTTTTCAAGTGGACAGATGGATAGATGAGCTTGGCCAAAGGTAGCAGGGAGCTGGGAGGAGAGAGGTCTGCAGAGCAGGAGCCCAGCGTGAGTGGGCAGTGGAATCAGGAGAACTTACATGGTGGACAGGGAGACAAGCGTGGTGAAGGCTCCAGGGGTGATGGTGGTGATCCGATTGTCATAGAGGGACAGCAGTCTCACTGAACTCAGGCCGGCAAAGGTGTCATTATTCACACAGCTGATCAAGTTACTCCTCAGCATCCTACCGGGAGAGGGGTGGGGATGAGAGAGCACAGGCGTGATCTTTTCTGTCACCAAATGGTGCCACGATGGTGTGTGTGTGTATAGGTGAGATGCTTTTGCTGATTCTAAGCCCAGTCCAGCCATGTTGCTCAGGTTTGTCCTGTGAGAGCAGGGCCTGGAGCCCCACTGGGCTGTGTGTAATGTGTGTGTACCTTGTTGTTTGTGCATGCTTTCTTGGAAACACAGGTCATGCATATGTATGTACACACACGCATATCATGTGGTTGCTAGGGTGTACACATGTATTTCTGGGAAAAGAAGAGAATCAAGAAGTGTTGTAGACGTCGGCTTGTATGATGTGTGTGCTTGTATGTCTATGCCTGTTTGTGCATATGTTTATGTGCACATTGCATGTGTCTGCATATGTCATTTTTATAAAGATCCTTATGCTTATGTTTGTGGGTAAATGTGTTTGTGTGCCTCCTTCAGCAAATTTCTGGTATGAATGTGTATATATGTGCATACATACATATACGATATACATAGATACACACACATATATACATATGTGAATACACGGGAGAGGGTGACTATGTGGGGTGTGTGCGTGTAAGTGTGTATGCTGGAGAGTGTTCAGCATGTTAAATTCTTTCCCATCCAAGGCTGTGGATGTCTGATGACTCTGACTCCAGGAAGAGAGGGATTCAGCAGGTCAAGACAGCGCCTGGGTGCAACCTGCCCTGATAGTCTGTCTCCAATTCCCCTGTCCTCCCATCTCCCTCTGGGTCTTGTTCCAGGCCCCATCCCAAGCACTCACAAGGTTTTGAGGGCACTGAGGCCGCGGAACATGCGTCCGTGCACAGTCTCCAGCTGGTTTCCCGTCAGCATCAGCTCCTGCACGCTGGCCGCTCCATCGAAAGCACCTTCTCGCAACTCCTTGATCTTATTGTTACTCAGGTTTCTAGAAGGAAGAAACAGAATGGGGGAGGATCAAAAGGAGCAGATGGTTTTGATTCAGGGATGGAATGTCCTGCTCTGCAGCCAGGTGGGGACTCTCCAGAGACCCCGAGACTGAGGACAGGATGGTGGAAGGAGATCCGTTTTGGGGTCCCTGACCGTTGGTCTTCAGCATCTGGCCCAGGGAGCAGGGACCCTGGGCCTACGCAGGTGAGGCTACCTTTGTGAAACAGACCGCATGGTCAGTGGATGAACTGGAGGTCACTGTGTTAAGTGAAATGAGCCAGGCACAGAAAGGCAAATATCATGTGTTCCTACTTATACGTGGGAGCTAAACAAGTTGATCTAATGGAGATAGAAAGTAGAAGCATGGTTACCAGAGGCTGGGAAGGCTTAGGGGAGATGAGAGGTTGGTTAATGGGTAGCTAGAAGGAATAAGTTGTAGTGTTTGAGAGCACAGTGGGGTGACTCTAGTTAACAACAATATAGATTTCAAAATAGCTATAGAAGATCTGAAATATTTCCAACACAAAGAAATGATAAGTGTTAGAAGTGATGATCTCCTAATACCCTGTTTGATCACTATACATTGCATGCATGTATCAAAATATCACGTGTCCCATAAATACGTACCATCGTTATGTATCAATTGAGAAAAGTAGACCGGATGGGATTTCTGTGTAATTGTCTTTTCAGTGCTCTGGGGGACTGAGAGAGTTAAAATAGTGACTCTCAAACTTTTTTCTCTCTTCAGTAGAGACTCTCATGAAGCACTGATTTACAAGAGGAAGGCAGGAGAAAAATATAAAGCATGCCCCCTGCTCCTTGGGACTAGGGCATCTGTGGAACTTCGAGCTTTCTCACCAGTTAAGGATCCCTGATATAAATAAATGGTGCTTTCTAGTTACTACGTGTTGACTGCTTTTTATGTATTGGGCGCCGCATGAAGGATATGACCAACACAACCACATAGAACCCTCAGAACAATGGCTGTCAGACTGATACATTATTATGGTCTCGTTTTACTGGTGATGGGACTGAGGTTCAGAGAGCTTGACTAGTTTGCAGTCACACAGCTGACAGAACTGGGATTTGAAGCCAGGTTTTCTGGCGTATCAGATGTGCTCCACTGAATCTCTTCTTTCAGAAGCGAGACTTCCTTTGGCTATGCGGATAGTACTTCTTTGCAGAACAAGATTTTGGATATTGTATTTGCTTCAAGTGAGCTTGGTCCTATCAAGCCCTGGGTGCTGCCATTTCTGAGTCTGCCCCCAAGGTCTGAAAGCAGCTCTTCCCTCCGAGGCCAACTGCTGACATCCTGCACAGGCCTCACGAGAGAACAGAACAGCAAGCAGATGCTGCAGAGCCGTCAGCATTGCGAGTTTCCAGCTCTCCCTGGCAGGGGTGCTGGGGGCTTCTGTGTACCATCGAAATGCCCAGCCCTGGAAGGCATCCCTGGTCAGATGGATGAACTGAAGGTGATGACAGTGTTTATACTAGCTGAGGGGAAGAGTCCAGCCTCCCAAGCAAGCAGCCTATTCAGAGCCCTGCATAGGGAACCATCTGTAAACGGAAATTGCAAGTGGAGGCAGAGCCGCGAACTCATGGAGCCCATGGAAGCTGGTAGAATTGGCGGGCTCACAGAGATAAACCAGGACACATCTTACTGTTGAAATACCGAGCCCCAGAGTAGAAGAGCACTGCTCCAGGTCACAGGGCATTGGAAGGGGATCTAGGACCACACCAAGTCCCTGGTCTGAGCTCCAGGCTGACCCACAGCAATGTGAGGGGGATGAGACCTCCCTCAGGAACTGATTTGGCAAGTGACAGGACTGGACGCTCAATGCAGGCTGACTTCCCTCTTCCGAAGGAGGCACCAGGCCCCAGGATGAGGCCATGCCTGCACTTGTGGGCAGGTATGGGGGAAACAGTCAGTGCCTTGGTTCCTTCCCTGCCCCTCCACATGACCCCGTTCTCCTTCTCTCCTCCCCGTCTGGCCAAGAAAACAGGAATAAGCATTCCCAGCAAACCTCTCCCAAGCTGAGACAATCAGCAGACTCACAGACTGGATTTCCATTCCGTGCCTGGCTCTCCTTAAACTTGGCCAGTTTTCCGATAAATCCTGATAGCCCTGGTCTGGGATAAGCCAGGAATGAAGGTAACGCACTGGAAGACTGCAAATTACCCCGAACTAGACACGGGAGCAGAGATAAAGGCTCTCCCAGCAGCTGTAACTCACCCGAATGCCAGAGGAAAAGGCTTTTGCTCCAGAGAGTTGAGCTTCTTGGGCGGGGGTTAAAGTACAAGGGATGAGCAATGAAGATGAGTTAAAGCAGCTATGAAGTGAGAGGGTTCCCATTTCCTGACATCTGTTTCTTTAAATGAGCAAAATTAACATCACATTACTGTAAGGTTTGTGAATTGGATTTCCTCAGTCTGGGAGAATGGAAAACAGAAGGAGAGTAAAAAAGAGGGGATAGAAATTTCCAGAAGAGCTGGCTGCTGCTGTCTCTCCATCTATCAAAGCACCGCTCACAAGTACAGGCAGCAGTAGCTGAAGGTCAGAAAGTGCAGCTTGGGGCAAGCACTCCAGAAACAAAACAAGTGCATGGAGGTTTTGTGAGAGCACTAGAATATTCTCAGAGCAGTGTCCTGCTGACAATGCTCCAGCTCCCAGGAAACCCCAAAATGCAAAGCCAGGGCCACCCAGGGGACCTCTCTCCATCTCTGGGTTAGTTCAGAGCCCCTGAGGGTTTCCTGGTGAGGGTTAAGTGCATCAGTATCTGTACTGTCTGGCACAGGGTAAAGTGTTTAATTTGTGCTCACTGCTAGCCATTAGTACTATTTTTATGGCTTTCCACATTTGTACTACTCCCAGGCTCTTGAAAGTGTCTGAGTGTGCAGCCCGCTTTGAATATATAACCAGCTACTCTGGGTCACTCAGCTCACATGGCCTCTCCTACCTTTCCACACTCTCTCTCCCACCTTTCCACACTCTCTCTCCCCAGTACCATAGCCATGTCTTCCATCTTTATTTCCTCACACTTCTGATCTTCGCCATAACTTATAAGGAAGGTAGATTTATTTCTATTAAGTAAATGATGAAATTAAGGCTCAGAAAGGCTAAGGACATTCCTAGGGTCACATAGCTGGGAAGGGCAGAGCTGAATTCAGAATGCGCACAGGCTTGTCTGCCCATTTTCCCTCCACACCTGGACTTGTGGCTGCTCTTGAGAAGTGGAAATATTTGCCCAACCTTTATTCCAACACGGCAAATATTGGGATGAGCGGTGTGACATCTGTCCCTTTTGATGAGATCTAGGCCCATATTTTGCCAGAGTCCGCACTGCTCCCTTTTGTTGCCTAGTTGCTGATGCTGGCAGTCGGTTGACACTTGGTTGACACTTATCATGTGTTTGTGCTGTTGTTTTCTTGGGCACACAGAAATACTCTCTATACTCATGTCTCTATCCAAACTGGGAGGATGAAAGACTCAAAGTGCTTCAGTTTCATCTCAAATGTGAGGGTACCTATTTCTTCACAGAAGCAAAGTCTAGCCAATCCTGTTCAGTAGGCAAATATGCACTTGGCCAGCTTGATGCATCTTAATATCTGCCTCAGGCCAAAGGCATGTAAGTCTCTGTCTTCAGGTTAAAAACAAAGTACGCATTTCTCTGGTTTGAAATAAAAAGAACAATTCCTGGCAGGTGATAGGTGAGGTTTGTGTTGGGCCCCTGAAGCTAGTGGGGCACTGGACTCCAGGGACAGCCACGATCCTGACCCAAGTGTGCCCTTTTCGCAGCCATCCCCCTAAAGTTCTCTCCACTGCTCCTACTTACAGAACAGTCACTGGCACCATGAGCAACGTGGTGGCTGCAGGCAGGGAGGGAGGGAGGAAAGAGATCTGAGTAGCACCAGTGAGATTCAGATGCTGCCCAGGGCCTAGAAGGCCTCTGTCCTATTTGTCTGCAGGGAACTGATGGGTAGGAGTATGAGGAACAAGAGAAAACCGAGGTGGTACAGTCCATTCTCATTATAGGTAAGCATCCCTAACCAGAATGTCTGAAACATTTTTTTTTTCCTGAGACAGAGTCTTGCTCTGTCACCCAGGTTAAAGTGCAGTGGTGCCATCTTGGTTCACTTCAACCTCCACCTCCCAGGTTCAAGCAATTCTCCCACCTCAGCCTCCCCAGTAGCTGGGATTACGGGTGCCTGCCACTGTGCCCAGTGAATTTTTGTATGTTTAGTAGAGACGGGGTTTCACCATGTTGGCCAGGCTGGTCTCAAACTCCTGACCTCGTGATCCACCCACCTCGGCCTCCCAAAGTGCTGGGATTACAGGCAGGAGCTGCTGCTCCCAGCCCCAAAACTTTTTGAGTGCTGATATAACATAATTAGAAAATTCCACACCTGACACCTTTGCTTTCTGAAGGTTCAATGCACCTGAACTTTGTTTTATGCACAAAATTATTAAACATATCATATAGCTACCTTCAGGCTGTGTATAAGGTGTATATGAAATGTAAGTGAATTTTGCTTAGACTTGCATGCCAGCCTTATGACATCTCATTGTGTGTATGCAAACATTCCCAAATTCGAAAATATTTAAAATCTGAAACGCTCCTGATCCCATGCATTTCAGATAAGGGATACTCAACCCATACTCACAGTAGTTATGCTGCACACAGTTCCTGGGAACACTGCATTAGTGAATACCAACGTACTGCTCTTAGGGGAAATATAAGATTAGGGACCTGTGAGCCTCTGGTCTCAACATGTTCATCAACCTACCAACATACAACCTTGTTATATGTGTGCTTCTGCTGAAAGATACTTTATTTAATACATACGGCTGATCCATAACGTTGAACTCATGGCCAGCAGCACTGTAATTCAAGCCTGTAACAAAATCGCTCTCACGCACATATGTCCTCCATAAGGCACATCACAGCCTTCGCACACTGAAGATCTCCAGACGGCCCTTCAGTGCTGTGTCTGGGGGCCGTTTTAAACAGCAAAATCGCCATCAAAAAGCACAAACATGCAAAACACGCGGCATGAAAATAATGCAAAAGGACGCTGGTTTACAGCACAAGAGGTGACAGAAGAAGGCAGAGTGTGGCCTCACTTGACCTCAGCTGGGTACATGTTGTAGGTGACTCCTTTTTTTTTTTTTTTTTTTTTTTTTGGTGTTCTGTGCATGCCCGAGAATGACTGAAAGCTTGGAGAGTCTTGACTATGGAATTACACAAATTTTAGTGAGTCGGCGAATTCTCAAATATGGAATCCATGAATCATGAGGATGGACTGCATTTCCCTGGTTTTTGAGGCCAACCTGAACTCTGGGGCCAGGAGACATAAAGTATGGGGTGGGGTAAGGGAGGGGGCTAAAGAGACAAGTGCTTCCCTGGGGATCAGATGGTAAAAAGCACCCCCTTCTGTGCTGGTACTCTGCTGGGGGCCTGGAAGGGAAGATGGAGAGAAGCAAGCCTAGCCTCATGCTAGCATGGCTGCAGGTGGACTCAAGTCTGAATGCCAGCTTTTGGACCCGTTAGCTGTGTGGTCTCAGAGAAGTCTCGGAACCTCCTTGAGCCCTGGCTTCCTCACCTGCACAAAGAGGACTATGAAGCCAGCACTGAACGGGTGAGTGAGGACTTGGTGAGACAATGTGTGGGAGGCAAGGAGCGCGGTCCCTAGCTCAGGACAAGGACTCTAACGGTGCACCAACATCGTTCTCATTACCTTCATGGCTAGGCCCAAGCTCCTAGGCAGGGAGAGGCTTAGGATGATACGCATCTCTGGCAGTGGAGAAGCCAATATAGACATGTGGGCCCTTGCCTAAGCCAAGGCGTGGTCAGACCCATGGATTCCTAGATGGAAACCTCCTGTGAGAAGCTGCTGGAATGTTCACTCTGATGCGTATCACTAATGCAGGAGTCTTTTGATTCCATTTAAAAACTGACATTTAACTGTCACCACACAAAAATTGTCAAATAGCATATACCTTAGACACCCATGCCCCATCAGCAGTCCTTACCTGAGTCCTACCCACCAACCCTGGCCTAGGTATTGGATGGGCTATAGGGGTGGGGTTAGGAGAGGGTCCAGGGCAGGGTCTGGGATGGGGTTGAATGCTTGCTCTGTATAACTCTCAGCTAAAACTGTGAAGCATCACTTTGGTCTGTGTCTACACGTCTTGCTACCCAACAGAGTCCACAGCAGAGCTCTGGAGGAAGCTGGGAGGGGCTGGAACAGAGGCTGAGGCAGAGGCCAGTGCCCTGGATCCTCTAGTCTGGAACGCAGGCTCCGACTAGAGAACAGAGGCTGCTGCCAAGTTCCTGAAGTTGACTTACATTTTCCGCAAGTTGGGCAACTTCTTGAAGATACCAGTGGCCTCTAGAACAGATATCTCATTGTCATTCAGTCGCCTGTGTAGGAAGCAAGATGAGTGGTGGGTTAGCTGTGGAGGAGACCCCTCCTTGGGCCCCCCAGGGCTTTGGGTGCGTTGCCACCCAAACCTACACTTAGTGAAGGCCCACAGAGCCATCGGTAGCTTTGGCATTTGTCTGGTCAACAGAGGGGCCCAGCGGGTGGGGGAGGCACATGCAATGCAAATAGGGTGAAAGAGAGTGGATCAGCTGCTTCCTCCGCCTCTTGGAGGAAGCCTCCTTCGGCTGGGGTGTAGGGGATATTCTGAATACTCTGCAAGGGCATGCATTGCTCTCAGCACCCATCTATTACTAAGGATCTGCTTTTATTTTGTGGACATACCCCAGGAAGATTTCTCCAGGGTCTCCCAATCCTCCAAGCCCCTCAGTTCCTTCCTAAACACTTCCTTCTAGCAGGAGCTTCACAGGTGCTCAGGGAGAGCAGCAGGGCAGGGAAAGGGGCCTTGCTGTGTCCTCTGATTCTTGTGAAGTTAGAGAGGACAAAACAATAATAATAATGCAGATCACCACCACTCATCCAGAGCTTACTCTGTGCCAGGATTCAAGATGAGTGCCATGCCTGCATCCTCTTTCTTGATCTCCCCAATCACCCTAGGAGGTAGGCACTAATTATCTCTCCATTTGACGGCTAAGAAACTGAGTCCCAGATCCGAGGAGCAAATGGCCTCATCTTAGGAAGCCTGCCAGAGTCAGCCCCACGTCTGCCAGTCCCCACATGTTGTGCCTTTGTCCTCCATGAGGCTGTAACTTAAAAAAATTCTTTTAATTAAAAAAGATTTTCTTTCAGAGACCGAGTCTTACTCTGTGGCCCAGGCTGGAGTGCAATGGTGTGATCATAGCTCGCTGCAGCCTCGAATTCCTAGGCTCATGTGATTCTCCTGCCTCAGCCTCTCTAGTAGCTGGGACTACAGGTGCATGCTACTACCATGCCCATCTGATTAAATTTTTTTTTTTTGTAGAGACTGAAGTTGGGGAGTGGGGTCTTCCTATGTTGTCCAGGATAGTCTTGAACTCCTGGCCTCAAGTGATCCTCTCCCCTTGGCCTCCCAAAATGTTGGGATTACAGGCATAACCCACCATGCTCGGCCCAGCTATAATTTTTTAGCTCTTTTTTTTTTTTTTTAATAAACCAACACATCATTTTATTAACATGGCTAATCTGAGGCTCAGATATATTTAATCATACTAGTTTTTTCTCACTTCATTCCAATTCTTTATTTAACACCCAACTTTCTGGTTTTACTATAAGCCACATAAGGGCTGGCAGGGACTATGTGCTCTGCCCTGATGTAGAAACGGGTGGGCCTAGCATGATGCCGGCTCACAGTGGGTGTTCAGAGAACAGTTGTAGAATGAAGGAATGAAATGTCTCTATTTGCAAGCAAGCTGTCCATAGGAGACGCCTGGGTATCTGCCTTCAGACCAGTATGGAAAAGACAGCCAACAAGCACCAGATGACTGAGCCAGGAGGGGGTCACCTCCAGGAGACCTTGCCCGTGCTGGCTGTGGGTGACCAGCGTGTGAGGAGTAGGGAGTTCACGCCGAGGTTGGACTTACAGGTCCGTGACGTATTCAGGAAGGTGGCTTGGGACGCGGGCCAGCTTCTGGTTGGAGCAGTCCACGATAGTGCCCTCGCAGCGGCACTTCTCAGGGCACATGAGGTCCATGAAGCACTCGCTGCTGAACCTGCTTCGGTAATCCTCGGAGCCTGGGAGGGGCCAAAGAGGGGACGTCAGCGTCACCCAAGTTCCACACAGAGCCCAGGTTGTGGGTTGTGGGGGTGGGAGACAGACATGGGAGAATGAGTTAGGGGGTATTGGGGCTCACGTGACAGACACGGCATCACCCTCGCTATACGGCCACTTTGCTGGTGCTTTCCCTGCCCCCAGCCTTACTGCTTCCTTCTCATGAGTCTTTGTTATTCATCACTATCCTTGGGAACACCAGGCTCAAGATCCACTGGCTCTTATGCTTTTGGGTGGGGGGTCACAGAACTTTTTGAGCTGATGTAGGTTATGGATGTTTTCCTCGTGGAAGTGCTCTGTGGTGCACATGTACAGAATTCAGTCTACAATTTTAGGGGGGCTACCTACTCTACAATTCCGATCATTCCTGGACCCTCTAAATGTTCAGGAAAATCCAAATGACAAGATTTTGATGATACTTTGATGGGGGCTATGCCGGGGTAGGAATAAGTTATGGAAAAGGGTTGCAAACTCAGGGGCCTTTATTACGCCAGCAGGTAATAAAACAAGTGCAGGCTAAGCACACGGGAGATAAATGACCATCAACAGCTGACTGTAAGATTGGGAAGACAATAATGAGGGTTGGGAGCCTGGGGAACTGGAGCTACAGCCTTAATGCTTGGAAATTTGGCTCAGATTGCCTGATGTTTGTTTTCAAAAAAGAAAATCCATATATTTAAACAATATTGGTAATAAATTCCAATTTAAAACACTGTGAAGATGAGCAAAATGTACCCGAGGGTCAGATTTGGCCTCTGTAAGTATAGTGAAAGGTGAGTTCTGATCAACTGAAAGTTGGAGCTGAGATGTGCTTTTTTGAAAAGGAGTTTCTCCCGAAGTTGCGGTCATGGTAACAGGACTAACAATCTGGTGTCTCTAAGAGATACCTTGGGGAGTATCAATGATCACTAATGATCCATGGGCACGTGGGCAAACTTCTGTGAGACCTGGAATCGTGCTGGAGGGACCTGAGGGAGCGCTGGTTCTCCTATCAGACATAAGCTTATTGATGGGGCCAGGTTTACTCCATCCTTTCGCCCTGAACACTTTGCTAGCACAATGAGAGGCACAGAACAAGAGTTGGGTCCACATTTATCCAGTGCATGAGTGGGGTGTCATTAGCACCTGCGTGTCCTGAAATCCTCGGAAGGATTTCAGAGAATGTGAACATTATTTGTTTGCTCTACTAGGTGAGGCAACTTGGTGATCTTATTTGCATTAGGAGCATTAGCTTTTCATGCGTTTCAGCAGAAGGGAGCACAGGCTTGCTCAGGTTTTGGCACCTACCAGTCTCAGTCTCTCTCTATGTAAAATGGGAATCAAATAACTGCCCTTATCTTCCGGAGGCTCTTGTGCAGATGAAAGTAAGATTAAGGAGGTAGAGAGCCTCAGGAGTCGTATGGATGCTTGTGACTCTAGCACTGCTTCTTTCTACAACCCAGCAGAACATTTGGCAGCCTGGAGGCTGTGAAAACATGAGCGTAGCTGGCAGTAACAGTGGCCATTTATGGAACATGTACTGAGCCGGGCACTTTTCTTCCCATTTCAAATGGATGATCTCATTTAATCCTTGCAACACTCTAAGGTTAGGATAACTATTTTATTGATGAGGAAACTGAGCCCCACAGGTCCCTCAGTCTGGGCAGGCTGCTGCCTAGCTCCACGTGAATAACATGCTTTGCTACAGACATGCTTCTCCCCAAAGATTTTCCCAGGTCCTTGTGGGAATGATCTTATAGCCATACTTGGTGCAGGTGGACTGAATGGGGTCTTTCTCCGCAGTGGGCTATGGTGGGTGGGACAGGACGCAGATGTCTTCTACGCTCTTAGTTTCACTCGCCTCCCATGATCTCCCTATTGTAATTCTTGATCGGGAATGAACTTGGTGGTTATTTGATTCTGAAGTAACACTCTCTACCTAAGACAGGGGTCAGAAGCCTGGACCTGTCCTCCTTTCCTTTTCTGCTCTCTCTCCATCCCTTCATCTCCCCTTCTACCCCTAAACTTGTGTGAGCAAAATCTGTGCACATGTCCCCACAGTCATTTGAGTGGTTTCCTGGTTCAACGTATGATGCAGATTTCCTGCCTTTGGTTTGCCAGCTTCGTCCCACTTGGTAATTATGACCTGTACCCTTTTCTTCCAGAGCCATCAGTGTGCTGAATCCTGGGAGAATTTTTCATTTTGCGAAGCCTGTTAGGTGACTACCTTCTCTTGTTCTCTGCACCAGTGCATCCACACAGTACGGCATGAAGGGGCATTGCACACACATACAGAGATTTTTCCTTCACAACGTGTCTATAACGGGATCCTTGCAAAGTGAAGGAACCCTGACGGCTGATCAGAGGCAGAAAGACAGGAAGAAGCACAGTTTGCTCTTCAAGGCGATGAGCCTGGAGGCGTGCACCGGCTGGGCTGTGGCTGGGGACAGCCGCCTATTAAATGCATTTTCATTTTAATCAAGGTGAGAGCAGCCTGTAGTTAGCAGGAATCGCTCTCAGTAGTATAGTTAGATTATAACTGGTGGACCTCTGCAATGGAGCCGCTGACCCATTTTAATGAAATGATTTTGCAATTAGATTCGATGGACTAATGTGTTCTTTCCAGCATTTTTCCCCCTGCTGTTTTTGTTATTGCCCTGGTTTGTAATAACAAGGGGTCGGAATGTGATATTTTATACGAGTGGGAGCCAGAAATGTTCATAACGGCGTATGTACATAACTGAAAAAGTTCGTTTCCCCAGTCAGAGCCAGCCCGAAATGCCATCTCCATCACTTCATATTTCATTACCGAAACTACCCAGGGTTTCTTAGAGCCATTTGTTATGCCTAATGATCATAACTACCCAAAAGTATTTTTAACTTTTCCAGAGCTTTAAAAGTCAATTTCAATCTCCATGCATATTTGTCACTGCCAGAAATACTTAGTAGCAGAGGACCAACTGCAATAGGCGGTTGCTTCTTCTCTTTGGGGTGAGTTCAGACAGAAGAGATCCCGGAGGATTTGAAGAAGGGCCATAAAACTCAACCTCGGCTGAAACCGGCCCTGGAAGAGCTGATGTCATCTGGCATCTTGCCTGCTTCTGCCCCTGGAGCCCTCCTCCCCTTTCACGGGCAGCTCAGAACAACGACACTTGGTACGTGATCACAGACAAGCTTTAATAGACGGGCGGTGGGGGTAGGAGGTGGAAATTCACAGCAACACAATTTTATTATCCATCCCTGCCCTACAGCCATTTCCCAGGAGGAACACATGTCACATCTGGCTGACCAGGGGTGTGGGACAGGTAAGGAGTCAAGCTCCCATGCTCTGAATGGACTTGGCTGGGTTGGGATCAGAGGCCAGCACCAGGTCCAGCCAGGATGGTTGCTGCCATCAACAGTAAGCATTTTGTATCATCCTTTGGGCAGCCGGTTTGCTGATTGGGCCTCATAAATTCATTGTGAACGGATCATCGTGAACCTGCTAACTCATGTGTTCAGAGCTCTCCTCCCTATTCCCAATATCCCTAAGATGAGTAGAATAAAAGAAAGGAGGAAAGCAGCAGGAAGAGGAATCGGGGGGAGCGTAAGGCCTGTCAGGCCTCATCAGCTTGAAAAGACAGTGACGTGAATAAGCAAAGGGTCATAAGTGATGAATGACTCAGGAGAACATTGCCAGGCACACAGACATCCGCTCATGGGCAAGGCTGGGGGACCAGCTGCCAGTGGCTGGAAGATGCCAACTGTTTTACTAGGAGTTTGGTCACCAGTTGGGCAGGGAGCTGTCCTAGTAAGCTATCCCCATTGGAGTCTATTATGAGTGCAGCCATCTGTCTGAAAACAGAGGGAAATACCCACGGTCTGAGGCTGGCACTGCCTCACCACAGCCTGTGGCTGCGGGGCCAGTAAAGCACTGAAGGAAAGTGGGTCATTATGGACCCACTCCCAGAGGCCTGGGCCCGGCCACACTGAGGGCAGCGCCAAGGACCTCAGAATGCTCCTCTCTGTAAGGCGGGAGAGGGAACTAACTTCTCCAGGCTAGAGGATGTGTTCTGTGTCAAAGGGGATCTTTGTGTGTCCATGCTGGAGAGGAAGAGCCATTTGAATAATGCTTTCTTTCTTGCTTAAGTCCTTTCTATTAACAGATGAAAGCCTCAAAGGGTGAGTTTAAAAAAATTTCAAGTCCCTATCAAATCAAGGTTTTTAAAATTTTTTAATTTGGGGCCGGGCATGGTAGCTCATGCCTGTAATCCCGGCACTTTGGGAGACTGAGGCAGGTGGATTACCTGAGGTCAGGAGTTCAAGACCAGCCTGGCCAACATGGTGAAACCCCGTCTCTACTAAAAATACAAAAATTAGTCAGGCACCTGTAATCCCAGCTACTGGGGAGGCTGAGACAGGAGAATTACTTGAACCTGGGTGTCAGAGGTTGCAGTGAGCCGCAATCTTGCCATTGTACTCCAGCCTGGGGAATGAGTGAAACTCCATCTCAAAAAAAAAAAAAAAAAATTCTAATTCCAGGCAATGGGGTTGTCCACAGCTGAGAAGGTGGGTATTACAGCAGTACAATGCAGCCATTCTGGAGTCAGATGACCCTGGGTAAGTTAATTAACCTCTCTGAGCCTCAATATCCTCATCTGCAAAATGGGACTTTAGATTTTGTGAACATTAAACAAGGTAATGATGTGGAACGGTTCACTGCCTGGCCTATAACAAGTACTCAACATATGTTTTAAAATTACTCAGCAATGGTTGGGTTCCTGGTTCTGAAGGGTAACCTCAGATGGGGGAGGTAATAACACCTCATGATGGGGGCCCCGGTCTCGGCTCCTAGTTCTGGAGCCAGGCTTTGGTTCCCACCTTAGCTCTCTCTTGCAGGAATAGGACAAAGACTCCAGGACAGGAATGAACAACACAATGTTCTGGTTACACTGGGTCTAGGATTTGTCAAGAAACAAGCAAAATAAGAGGTACCAAGATCCCT